AATGTTCTTAGGGGTACAATTAGTTCTGAGGGTGGCTAGAACAACCTGGTGTGAAACCCCCTTTATTAATTTGTGACCCCATTTTATTCATTAATCTTGGCCATACTAATTTGTGCTCTCTTTTAATTTATTTTAATCATGACCACAATTTATGAGAGAAAAAAAAATGGAAACGAAAAAAATCTTAGTTTGTGGGTATCACCACATGTTTCTTCTTGCATTGTTCTAACAGCAGAAGAAGAAAAAAAATTCCACAGCAACAACAATAATAGGTATAAAATATTTATTTTTGTGATAAATAAAACAAATGATAATTAGGTCTGTGATGGCATTTGGTGAATGTGCAAGTTCTTTGTTTTTCTTAAATTGAGTGTTTATGTCCAGCTATTGAATTACTCAACACAAAGTCGACAAGGTGGCTTTGGCAACAGCTCATCCCAACGAAGGAGTAAAGTGTTCGAATTTGCAGCTGATGTTGTTTTTGACAAGTTTCCCACTCAGACCTAAGAATGTCAGGAAATGAGAGGAGCTTATTATGTGCTGACTTTCTGTCATCTTTATTTCCCTCTTTGAGGCTTACGGAAGTCTGTTTTGTTAATTTTACCATCACTGAATCGCTGGAGAGTTATTTTTATCTTCCAATCTCTGCGCGCTACCTCAAAAGCATGAGCCAGAAATAGAAGCTGTGCTGTTTCCGCTTAACATGATGAGAACAATCATCCAGGAACTCTTTAAAAGGTGCCTAGACAAATGACCCGCTTCTGTCCCAAGCTGATATTTGCTAGAAGAGATTCTGAGTGATATCATGTGTATGGAAATTCAAGAAACAAAGTGGCTTAAATGCAATAATGAGGCAAAATGTGCAGCATATTCTGGTCTGTAGGACACACACTCACCCCTCTCTCTCTCTCTCTCTCTCTCTCTGTCTCTCTCTCTTTCTCTCTTTTTGTCCTTTTCTCTGGGTCAAGTGACTCATTTAAAATGAGTCAGACAGGAATACTCATCAAAAGTGGTCCACACTCAAAGTATATTGTACTGTATAAGAAATGTATAGAAGACAAAATTGAGGTACAGTACCAGATGTATATGTTCCATTACACCTTAAACCGACCCATTCCAGCAAACCTGTCCTTCCCGTATCCCACCTCAATATTAACAAAAGTGTTTTGCAATACAGCATGACCACACCATTGTAAGATGTGAATATATTTCAATGAATCATTTGAACTATTTTACGTTTTGTATATTTTATTGGCAATATTTTATAATAAGCATACAATGATAAAGTACTTACAAATCGCACGACAATACAATACACATGCGTGCGTGCTATAAAGATGCATTTAGTGTAATCGGGTTGAGTCTTTACATTGTTAATATAATTATATTAATAGGCTATTTAAAAATAGTGAGTTATTCATTCATTGTCACTGTAATTAACTAAATTATAATTGTTGTATTACAGTAGCTCATATGTAAAGAGTTAGATAATGTTTTTTTTTATGCTTTGTTAACCATTCATTAGCTCTAAATAGTTCTCACTTTAGATTAGATGTTGGAAATTTGGAAAATGTCCTTAATTAAGTGCTTTAAACCAACCTTTATTATACATTAATTGCATTAGTATTAAGTGTCCCTTAATAAAAACTTTTTAGGGAAAACAGAAAATTAATGTCTAATGAAGATTACTTTATTATTTAATGACATTTTCCCATTTTCCTTGACCCAATATAAAGTAAAATATTTACTCCTAATAATTGATAAACTATTAATTTACTATGAGCTGATTAAACAATAATAATTATTTTAATTACAGTGACAATAAATTAAAAAACTCACCACTTGTATGCAGCTTATTAATATATTAACAACTATTATAATAATATTAAAACTTTATCAAAATATAGTAAATATCAAACCAATGCATCCAAATACCTAACTAACTACAGTGGGTACGGAAAGTATTCAGACCCCCTTACATTTTTTACTCTGTTATTTTGCAGCCAAATTTAGCTAAAATCATTTAAGTTTGTTTTTTTCCCTCATTATTAGGAATGGGTATCGTTAAGGTTTTATCGGTATTACTACTCTTACCGATTCCGCTTATCGGTCCGGTACTTTAACGGTATTCTTATCGGTTCTTTTTGGTGTTTTTTATTATTCATTTATTTTAAGAATTAAAAACATAATTAAACTTTATATTTTGAAATGTAAAAGAGAAAAAGCAAAACGAAGAAAAATATCTTTTTGTTATGCAGCAGTGTGCAGGCTTTTTTTGTTTATACAAAAAGTACACAAGAAAAAAACAAGTACAAACACAAGAATACAATTAATCAAAGATACAAATTATACACAAAGTGCTTTAATTTCAGGAAGGTCTACCAACATATCTTTTCAGGTGATTGTTTCTGTCTGAAAAGAAACCTAGTAATCAAATATAAAATAGCACTGTAGTTTATCAGATAGAATAATGCTTATTAAATATAAAGTTACTCATTCAAAAGCTGCAAGTGATTTTCTCTGCCTTTTGTTGTTTGATTTGTATTAATGGCTGAATCGTCAGCAGGTTTAGGCTATTAGACTGCTGCCCCTTTAAGACCGAGTGCAGATAATGGGGACTGATGCACCATCATTTTCTCCCTATTATTTACGTCCATTTAAGACATAATTGTGTTTAAGTGAATAAACTCTGTTTAAGTGAATCTCAGAGCTGGTCATTTTGACATTTTTATGTATATTTGATAGTTAAGGACGCACAAAGCACAAAGTATAGGCTAATTTTCTTCTCTCGTTGCAGTCGGAGCGCGCACTGCCTTGTGAACAGCGTCTCTTATGCAGGTTTTTGTGTTTTTAATAGCCATTTTCTTGATCTTGCAACAGTAGAAGACAGCACTTTGCAACCATCGCCGATCGTGCTGATTCTGACGGTTACATTTGGGTTTTAGGAAAAACTGACAGCGCTCCGCAGTGCTGTGAAGTAAAGGAAGTTAAGCTGGACAGATCGTCTCGTTTTTTAACGGTTTTATCTCAAATATCTTCTTTTTATAATCTTTGGAAGCCGAAATACAAAATATATTAGAATAATATCCCAGATCTAAAGTGTAACCACGTTGAATGTTTAGTTCTGTCCTCATTGTCACTCATTAAGCAAGGGCTGTCGTGTTGCGCGTGCTGTGGCTTTGCGTGAGAGATCGCTCTCTCTCTTCTCTCTCTCTCTCTTCTGAACTCCGAATTGCAAATTTGCCTCACAGACAAATGGTTTAATTAAAATATAGTTTATATATAGAAATGGCTGGCGAAATAAACATATTCAAGATAACGTCTTTATAGGAATAATAAATAGTAGCCCAACTTGCGTGTATTTACTTAATTTCTCCAGTACCGACAGCAGAACCGGTAACGCCCGAGCTTATCGATACAGCGGTCTTTCAAAATTCAGTACCGGGGCCCGTTTAATACCGGGTTTCGGTACCCATCCCTACTCATTATTGTACACACAGCACCCCATATTGACAGAAATACGCAGAATTGTTGACATCTTAAATGGAAGACGTTTGGGACGACCAGAACCCTTCCTAGAGCTGGCCGTCCAGCCAAACTGAGCTATCGGGGGAGAAGAGCCTTGGCGAGAGAGGTAAAAAAAGAACCCAAAGATCACTGTGGCTGAGCTCCAGAGATGCAGTCGGGAGATGGGAGAAAGTTGTAGTAAGTCAACCATCACTGCAGCAATCCACCAGTCGGGGCTTTACGGCATAGTGGCCCGACGGAAGCCTCTCCTCATTCAAAGTTTGCTAAGAAAAAACCTGAAGGACTCCAAGATGGTGATAAAAAAAGATCCTCTGGTCTGGTCTGGGGGTGTTTTTCAGCTGCAGGGACAGGACGACTGGTTACAATCGAGGGAAAGATGAATGCGGCCAAGTACAGGGATATCCTGGACGAAAACCTTTTCCAGAGTGCTCTGGACCTCAGAGCCAAAGGTTCACCTTCCAACAAGACAGTGACCCTAAGCACACTGCTAAAATAACGAAAGGAGTGGCTTCACAACAACTCTGTGGCTGTTCTTGAATGGCCCAACCAGAGCCCTGACTTAAACCCAATTGAGCATCTCTGGAGAGACCTAAAAATGGCTGTCCACCAACTTTTACCATCAAACCTGACAGAACTGGAGAGGATCTGCAAGGAGTAATGGCAGAGGATATCCCAAATGCAGATGTGAAAAACTTGTTGGATCTTTCCCAAAAAAGTCATGGCTGTATTAGATCAAAAGGGTACTTCTACTAAATACTGAGCAAAGGGTCTGAATACTTAGGACTAGAGTTGGGGTACTCGAACTCGACTCGGACTCGGATGTTAAGGACTCGGACTCAAGTCCGACTTGGCCCTCTTTGGACTCGGACTCGACTTGGACTCGACTGGGACTCGACAAAGGTGGACTCGGACCCAACTCTACTTAGGACCATGTGATATTTCAATTTTTCTTTTTTAATAAATGTGCAAAAATGTCAACAGTTCTGTGTTTTTCTGTCAAGATGGGGTGTTGTGTGTACAATAATGAGGGGGAAAAAACTTGAACTTGAAAACTTGATTTTAGCAAATGGCTGCAATATAAAAAAGATTGAACAATTTAAGGGGGTCTGAATACCCACTGTATATGTATCTCTTGGAGCTGCTGCATTTTTTTTATGACATTACAACATTAAAAAAGTAATGTTCCCAGTTGGTTTTATTATTCAGGAACTAAAATTCTAATCAATGCAGCATATTTTTTTTCTTTTTTCAATAACAATAAGACAACTGATTTGAAGTGGTCTGCAACTGTTTTACTAGTGTTGGGTATAGCTGACTTTTTTCTGTGAAATAAATTTGACATGTCTTCAGTAAGCACTCACAATGTCAAAGGACAATGTTTCAAACAGTACTGTTATTATTATTAGCCTACATTAAGTAGTCTAGTAATTGTTACATGTTTCTATGAATCTCTCCTTGTCTTTCTGTTTCAGTGAGGACGTGTGTAAGAGAGGCTTCACTGTGATTATCGATATGCGCGGCTCTAAGTGGGAACTGATAAAGCCGTTACTGAAGACCCTGCAAGAAGCGTTTCCAGCTGAGATCTGCGTCGCTCTCATCATCAAACCAGACAACTTCTGGCAGAAACAGAAGACCAACTTCGGCAGTGCCAAGTTCACCTTTGAGGTAAAAATGCAATTATTGAGTAGCTGTCTTCCCTGTTCCAGACTCTAGTTGCTTGTCTGCGCAGAGTTTGGTGTATCGATTGTTAAGCTGTTAAACTTTATGTTTCCATGTTATGATTCATTCATGGCTCACATCCAACAAGTTACTTTCACCTTAAACTGACATGTCTATTTCTCCCTTCTCGCTGACAGACTAGCATGGTGTCTGTGGAGGGTTTGACCAAACTAGTGGACCCGTCTCAGTTAACGGACGACTTTGAGGGATCTCTGGAATATAATCATGAGGAATGGATCGAGCTCCGGGTTGCTCTCGAGGAGTTCCTGGCCAGTGCCGTTCACCTCCTCTCCCGTCTGGAAGATCTGCAGGAGATGTTGGCTAAGAAGGAGTTCCCGGTGGACGTGGAGGGATCTCGGAGACTCATCGATGAGCACACTCAGCTGAAGAAGAAGGTGATGAAGGCTCCAGTGGAAGAGCTGGACCACGAAGGTCAAAGACTGTTGCAGTGTATCCGTTCCAGCGATGGCTTCTCAGGGAGGAACTGTATTTCTGGAAGTGCCGACTTCCAGAGTGTGGTTCCGAAGATTGCCAGTCTGCTGGATAAACTCCACAGCACCAGACAGCACCTGCACCAGATGTGGCACCTCAGAAAACTGAAGCTAGATCAGTGTTTTCAGCTCCGACTCTTTGAACAGGATGCAGAGAAGGTAAGAGAACATGGGTTTAACCGTGTGTGAATTGACAAAATGATGGCTGTTTATGGCATGTGCGCTGCGTAACATGAGAATGAACCTCATTGGTTCTTGCTGAAGCTCAAACATGCTATGCAACACAGAAATTAAGCTCTCTGGCTGTTGCAGAAGCTCAAACGAGTGGCGTAACATGAGAATGAATAAAAAATCAATCAGATGACAGAAGGCTTGTAGTAGATTCTGTGCATCAGGTTTTCCAGTAAAGTTTGGATCGTGTTGATAATTTAGAAGCCTTATGCTACGTTCACAGCGGACGCGAATAGGGCGTCAGGCGCGAATGATTTCAATGTTAAGTCAATGCAAAGACGCTTGACGCGCGTGAAAAATTCCTGCGGCGCGAATGAGGCGTGGAGCGCGGCGCGAAAGACGCGAATATGCCTCATTCGCGCGACTGGCACGAATTGGCCGTCTGGCGCGTTAAGTGCGTTACACGCAAATGATTCAGTTAGTGCCATTTGTGCATTCACGCGTTTGACGCGAATTCGCGTCTGCCGCCCGAGTTGAAAAATCTGAACTTTGGCGTGAATTCGCGCCGCGTTAACCAATCAGGAGCCTAGCTGCTTGCTCACGTGGTGAAGTGTCTGGATGCTTCAATAAATTATTTTGTTAATATGACTAAATGCATGGTGGGATTATGCACAACAAAGCAAATCTTTTATCACTTAAAACATTATTTCTATATACGAGACATGTTCATTTTGTATTGAATGTTATTCATTCCATAGCTAGATTATATGAAATAGTATTATGTTGTAAAGACAATCAATATATGTGCATAAATTCGTGTCTGGACGTGAGAGAGAGAAAAAAAAAATCACAGGACAGGTTAATAACTTTTGAAGGCTGGCTCTATTTATCATCAAAACAAAAATAAATGACAGCTAGATTAGATGGATGAGGGCGAGGGTGATCCTCGCTCCGATGCGGGACAACATGTCATCAAACTGGGCGCGGGACAGGCGGAAGTACCGCTGACAGCGGCCGTCATCCAGCGCAGCTCTTGGAGCGAGCAAATGGTGAAACTCACCAAACGGTTCGGCTCCGAAGGGTCCGGTGGACATAAATATACGGCGACAATGATCCCCACGCTGCTGTTCTGCTCTCCAGAGTAAATACAGAGCGGTAACTCTCTTGATGAATGGCCGCCAACGGATTTCGTTTCTGACGTGCGTCACGCGCGTAAATTTCGCTTCAAACTTTTGTTTTTACGCGCGCCAGTTTCGCTCTTGACACGCGAATTAACACAAAGTGGTCAAGCGTCAAACTAGACGCGTCAGGCGCGAATTTGGATTCGAATTCGCGTCCGGTGTGAACGTAGCTTTAGAAATTTGTGTATCGGCAAGTTGTGTACAGGCTTTATAGGGTTAAAATGTGACTTTACTCTAAGTTCACCCCACTTCATGATAACAATAAGTTTGAGATAATTGTTCAGACACAAGTTGAAGGGCCAGACGATCGCTCAAATGGGCCCGTCTGATACTGAGTAGCCTACATAAGTGCTTTGTTCTGATGATTTTGTTTCGTTTAGAGCGCAGGCGTTTATTTTTAGCTTCTGCTCACACAACCTTTCACTCGTCGCGGGTGAACATGATTGAAAATCATTTGTCTGTCATTGTGCCAGGCCTCGTCAAATGGCCAAGAGCAAGCAGTCACTCTGCTAATTAATACCTCTGTCCAACTTCTCTAACAACGAGCCCAGCCCTATTCGATTAAACCATCCATTTAATATAATAGGAATGCAGGCAGTCAACTAGATTATCAATTATCCTGTCTCTCAGCTCTTATCTTGATTACAAGTGCAATTCGTTTGCAGTTCTAATTAAACATTTATTTTGGATAGTTATTCGGTATTGAAGGATAAATTCTGTGTCACTCAGAAAGCAGTGAAGGCCATGGTGGTGAAACGTGGACAGAATTGTAATGACGTTTGGTATTTGCATATTTGTTTATTATTCATTATGTAGCTTTCCATCTGTTAATTAAAGTATATTTATGAATTAATCAGTGCAATACATATTTATCTAAAGCTTTGATGAGTAAAACATGTACAGTCACAACAGTAAATGATTTTTGAATCAATTGGCCATACAATTTGATTTCTTCAGAAGCCAGTTTAGAGATGTAGCATTCACAATTTGTAAATAATCTAGTCATAAAATTTGGACTGATCTTTAAAGTGGAGAAAATATATTTTTTATGACTATTTTATACATCTAATATATGGTAAATCCTAAGGGTTCACATACTTTTTTGTCTGCAAGTATATGTACCCTCCAGTATATGATCCCACAGATGGCAATGGTAAACTCTGACATTGATAATTCATTGCATTTAAAAAATATATAGACGGATGTTCCAGAGAGCGTAAATCCGTTAAAAGCCTCCTACAACTGATATCTGTGTTTTAGCATAGCATTTAATCAACAAGAGGATTTATCTTAATTCATGACAAAACACCAAACTTCCCAGCAAACCTCTCTGATTGTACACAATAATTTGTCATTTTTTTCTTACTAAAACAGAAACATTGTTAATCCAGTGATGTCTCCCTATGTTAACATGCTTATATGAATGGATATCTTATCTTCTGCTAAAAACTAAGCGGTTGACGTTTTTACATTTGTCATTCTGTTATCTGCCCTGAGTCTGTCGTACGCTAGTCTGTGTGTTTGATTAATTATGTGTGCTGTCTGTTTAATATGTAACCCCCAACCGTAGTGATGTGTAAACTTCATAAAGCAATGGTCTGGGATTATATGTAATGGCTTTCTATTGTCATCTCTCTATAGATGTTTGACTGGATCAGTCACAATAAGGAGTTGTTTCTTAAGAGCCACACAGAGATCGGTGTGAGCTACCAGCATGCTGTGGAGCTACAGACTCAGCACAACCACTTCGCCATGAACTCAATGGTACGTCAATCCATGGTGATTTTGTTTGCTTGTAGAAGTCACTACTTAAAGTTCTGGGTTTTGTATGAGTTGGTGATTTCAAATGAATTAGTATAATCTGAAATTTGTAGGTAGAAGAACGTCACCTTGAAGGTCCATCCCTAAGTTCACCACTAAACACAACCCTATACAAATTCATACCAAAAAGTAAAATACAGTACTTGGGAACTATCCTGAGAGTGTGGTTAAGAGATGAAAAGTATGTTATCATTAGACCCATAAGACTTCTGTTCATCTTTTTAATATTCCTTCATCATTTTTGTCCATCAATTAAAGGGGTTATTATATATATCCATTATTGTTGTCTGAGGTCAACTCATGACGTTCGCTTGGTTTTTGCATTCAAAAACATCAAAATGAATAAGTAATAGGCTATTTTCTACCCTAGCTTTGAGCCTAGCTGAATAACGCTCGGTTTTTATGGGCGTTTCGCATTGGAGACTTGGAAGTAAACGCCCACTGCTGTGAGTGGATAACAGTTTTGCATATTATGATGAGTTTCAACTCACCTGTCGATGCACTTGGGGGAAATTGTTTTGAAAACGTCCAATGTTGTAAAATGGCAACCGGAATGATTCGCCCATATGTTCGACCCAGAGTCCGTGTGCACCATTGCTGTCAATATAGATGGCACAGCACCGTTCTTTAATCTTAATCGGTCTGCAAATTCAGTCTTGTTTACGAAACAATCATCAGTGAAATAAGACGAACAGACGGACAATGTTTTACCCTTATCTGCTGGAACGCCATGCAGTCCTATTGGAATCCAGAGAAAGCAAAGCTATTCGTATAATTTGCGAAACGGTGGGCGGGGCTAAACCGGCCGTGTTGAAGTAGGCGTTGATCTTCTTCTGCGGGGGTGGGGTTTTATCCTCTTTGACAACATAGTTCCCCACTTTGAAAAACGAGTCGTTTGCTGAGCCTGGTGTCAATAAAAGCTTTTATTGGACAAACAAGGATGTTTTCGGTTCTGACGCTTACAGGACATTCTTATAATATGATGACCTCTGAAAATTTGATTTCTCAGTTCATCACCCCCTTAAAAGTCCACACTAGAACAAAAATCAAAAAGTTCATAAAGACATTGCAAAAGAAAACCATATGATTTGAACGATTTAATCCAAGTGTTCTGAAGAGACTCAATCACTTTATAAACTGCAGCTTAAAGGGATAGTTCACTTTGAAATTATTTTTTGATATGTTTGAGCTTACCTCAAGGGCATCCAAGATGTAGGTGTCTTTGTTTCCACAGCATTTTCAATTTTGACATTTTTTGGTCAAACCGTTCTTGTCTGTCAGACATATAATGCAGGTCTATGGAGCCCACCTCAAGAGCATGCACAGAGAAGTCAAAATTAAACATTATTTAATGACTCGTAAATGTAAGTACACATTGATGGCCTAAGACACGAAACGAGCGGTTTGTGTGAGAAAACGAACAGTATTTATATCGTTTTTACCTCTTGTTAACAGCCGTCGAACTGATCTGAAACAGATGTACAACTGAACCGAACTGAACTGTCTCCAACGTGACGCCGGAAGTGATCGCGTGCGTATATACGTCACGCATTGTTTACACCGAGATTTCGGAAGTTTTACCTTTCACTAAACATATTTAGATATATCGAAAATCTAAATATGTGTAAACAATGCGTGACATACATACGCACGCGATCACTTCCTAAAAAAAATGCTGAGTTATTTTAACCCAATTTGGGGTAAAATATGGACCAACCCAACGTTGGGTTAAACATGTCATTTAAAATGTTACTGGGATTAATTACTGGGTTTGTCAATATATGATCCAAATTTGGGTTGAAATAACCCTGCATTTTTTAGAGGGTGAGTAAATTGACAGAATTCCTACTTTTAGGTTAAGTACCACTTATGGCTCGTTTCCATTGAAACGGTACGGTACAGTTCGGTTCGGTACGCAATTATTTGCGTTTCCACTGTCAAAAGTTGTGAATGGTTTGGGTACCCTTCCGTTGGGGTACCTAGCACAGTGAAAGGGTTCTAAAAGGTGGAGCTAGACTCACTGCAGAACGGTGATTGGTGGACAGAGTATTGTCACTGCTCATACAAGGGCATTAGAAGCATACGGTTGAAATATATTACTACTGTTATTGTGTCACGAAATGTAGTTTTAAGAGTTTTTCAGGCGAAAAAGTAGTTTGTTTTTTAAGGCTCAAATTTGTGGTTTATTTATAGATTCATGATAATTTGACTGAGATCCATTCCAAGCGATCACCGGACGCTCGCGCTCGTGTCCCCCGCCTGGAACAGATTTTCCTCGGCGAGTCGTTCTGATGTTTGCCGCTGACTCGGACGTCTCTGTAGTGGTTAAACATGAGATATAATTCGTCTTGTATAAACCCAACAGGCGATCTTTGGTCTCGTGAATCTATAATTCGTTCCCTGGCCAATAGTTTTGGCAGAAGGCTAAGTAAAGTTTCATATCTTTGAGCGCTGAATTTGTATATTTGACTGACTGAATTGTTTCTTTATGTTATCAAAGCTTTACTGTATATCTTTTTGTACCTTTTACTTATACTTTAATTGCTATTATTGATAAAACTGAAATTCAACAAAAAGAGATAGTTTTGTCATTTTTTTTTATTTTATTACAAGATCTGTAATGTTGTTTATTGCAACATTTATACCAATGCGATATGCAATAGGCTACATTACATATTGCCTGGAATAGAAGAATCCGGCGAAACTACCGGAAGTAAGCGGGCGCCATTACTGAGCTGTTGCTGGGTAGCGTTGCGCCATTGCCTCCTATTGTTTTAGTTGCAACTTGCGTCCACTGGAATAAACAGCCCGCGATTTACGACTGTCACTAACTTTACAACGTTATCCCTTGTATAATATCGAGTGGGTAAACAGTTTTCGTTATAAATTGTTTCAATGGTGGCAGTAAAATTTCAATTTTGAAGAGAAAACACTGTGAATACCCCGGGTCGACTGCCCCTGTCTGGTGCCGAACGGTTTACAGATTTCCTGGGCGAGTACAAGACGCGGACATTCGTGTATAATAACAATTATTTAATGACATAAGTAAAAAATATATAATAAATATGTGATATAGTGATCAGCAAAATCTCCTCTCTTGCTATTTTTTCTATTCAATTAACATGCTATGGTCATTAAATGGCTTTCCTGAGCTAAATATAACGTTATGTGACATAATTGTTTTCCTGCTGTTATATTGACCACTTTCCATGGTTTAAAAACACTAATTGGTCGATATTATGTATACTTTCTAGCTGTAACGTTACCTTACCCTTGCCTGTTGCAATGTGAAAATGAGATAAATAATGGACACAAATGAAAAACATGAATTTGTTTATTTGATTTCATTCATTTATTTATTTATTGTTGCCAAATGGACAGATCTTTTTATAGTTTCCTCGTTAGCAAACGTTAGCCTAGCTAGCTTGCCAAGCTATTTGCATAAATAACGTTAATCTGTAAGATCGTTTGTACCTTCATCTGTGACTGGAGGCCACTGCAGTCACAGATCAAACCAACAAGTCATTCTGCCTGGCTGTAGCTGTCATCGAGGGTGAGTTCGCGTTATCACCGAGGTTTGTTTACATACCGGTGCATATGTCTATATGCCTGTGTAACAGCTAAGTAATGGCGTCGCCACAAGATGGCAGCCTACACAGAACGCTCGTCGGATTCGTCTATATGTTTAATATTTTTTTAAATTTAAACGAAAAGAGGCAGGGTTGTGTTTTATATTTAGTTTTGTTATAAATATAACGTTACATACAGTACATGCAGTGAATATAATCAATAGGCATTGCCTGAACCACATTTGTGCGCTTATAATGTTTAAAATGTATTGAAATGAAATCGTAAAGAAGCAGAGTGGTGTTTTACAACATATTTCGTTTTATTGTTGCCTAAAATATACATACAGAAATAAACGGAGTAGTAGATCGTTCAAGAACACGCTGTTCCAATAGCAGAACTACTGGACTCGCGTCCTCGGGAGTCATTCTCCTGAGTCGGACTTTGCGTAGGATACTTGGTATTGAGAAACGCCTGATGCCAGCGCTTGTTTCTTGTGACAAACATGCCGAGAAGCAAGAACAAGATCTGCTGTCTGTCATCCATTGCTGTTTACTATGTCGCTTTCTTCGCGCGAAAATGACGTCGATCACTTCTTTCCAGCAAACACCATGCCCCTATCAAGTAAGGGTACTGTTGGCGGTGGAAACACAAGCCTGATCATGGTGTACCGACCCGTACTGTACTGTACCGTACTGTACCTTACCCCTCAGTGGAAACGAGCCATTAAGGGTGGTTGAGCTGGTCAACCGATTCAAGTCAAATTGATAAGCATGGTTAACTAGGTATACCAGTTTCCCACCACTCTGTCTAGCACTCTGTAATTCTGCCTGACTGGCTCTTCACTGCACACAGTAGGCATGTCCTGAAGCTCTTTCTTCAGATCACTGTTTCTGTAATTCCTTCAGTCTGCTTAGCCAGCCAGAATCCCTCCTACCACTTTAATCAAACTCCCAATCATTTGATCTCAGAGACACAAACACACTCACACTGTTCATTCATCCTTTTCTTCTTTATCCAAGCACGGATGTCGCTTTATGCCTCATTAGGCTTTGGTTTTAATATGAGTCCATTTGGGTTCATGTTGTCATTAGTCTAATGTGGTTAAGTGGTCTCTTCCCATTTCAGTTCTCTTGGTAGTTACTGTGAGAGAAAGAAGATGTATCTTGTTCAGTCATAAAGTGGTAGATGGCACAGACTGATAGGTAATTTACATGCAATTTACTAGCAATCACATTGGCTACGTTTACATGCACTGTTAAGTTGTCTTGATTGATATTGTGAAGCAGCTTTGATACAATCTGTATTGTGAAAAGCGCTATATAAATATATTTGACTTGACTTGACTTGACATGCAACCAAATAATATGTTAGTCATCGGATTAACGGCTCAAATGGATGCAAGCACCTTAATCAATCCGATTGAGCTCGATCCTAATAAAATTTGGATTTGATTTGATTGGTGGTTTGATTGTTAAAACCATGTTCACTTGTTTTGAGATGTACAGTCCTTTGGTCTACGTCGTAGTTGAAAGGGCTATACAAATAAATGATGTGAAATGACTTTCGGTGAAGTGAACTCCATTAAATCTTTGGGAATTGAAGATTTATCCGTTTTGCGAAAATGCATTTGTGAGAAGATTTAAGTAGAATTGTTAGCTTTCCGATCTGAGAAAACGCATGAAGTTGCCAGGTGTAAACAGCCTCTAATGTGCCTTCAAGTTCATTGTAACGTATTGAAAACTAAATTGTCTTGAGGAGCATGGAACCCAGACGGAAATTTGATTTTAATTTTCTTTTTTTTTAAATAAAGGCCTGTCTCTAATAAAAGCCTGCTTCAAATAAAAGCATGTTACCTTCTGCAGTTCAGGTAAATAAAGACCCTGGCTTTTATTGGAGGAATTACGGTAGACCACATGTTTTACTGTATATGAATGTAGCTCAACATCATAGTACTTTACAACATGAAGACATTGTGTAATTCAACTAGGGAATTTTAATTATTACCATTAATAAACTGAATGAAGTAATAAACTAAACTTACTTGTGCCTAAGAACACCCCATATTAGCGGTAAAATCACTGTAGTGTGAGAAAGAAGAATGATTAATTCTACAAAATGTGCACTTGTAGTGTACTTTAAATCTTACAAATATATTTTAAAAAATGTACTTGCAGATAATACAATATTAATTAAATAAAAGGCCACTTCAATGTACTTAAAAAGAGTACACTTTCATGACTTTCTTAACACAAGTAATTACACTTTTAAAGTGCACTTTGTCAAAGAAAATTATTGATTTTTTTTTTATTTCTTTACTTACATTCTAAAGCACATATAATAATTGTAGCTTGATCATGTTATTTGATATTGTATTTAAAGTTAATATATTTTAAATGTACTACTGTAATTTTCAACCTTATTACATATGTGAAATTAAAATAAAATTAAAAAAACATGACATACGTTTCAATAGAAAGTATAATTTAGTTTGCCATAACTCCTTGCCTTTATTTGGCAGT